TTGTTGTCTGGAATAGATCAGAACAATACCTATGGGTGTTGTTGGTAGGTAGTTAAAAAGTAATACCTAACGGTAACGGGTGACCTAATACACCGATCACTTCCACTCATCGGTTGCAGTGACTGAAAATGGCTTTAATGTAATTCAAAACTGCATTTATACTCCGGTTTTCAACACTTGTTCGTTGTATTTATAATTAGTGGTGGCTTCTCTTCCGTCATAAGCGCGAATCGAACCTAAAATGGGCCTGTACTTATTCAATTTTGCCGATAAAAATATATTTTTGGTACCGTTAGAAAGCTTACACACGACTGCATGTGGTGCTAGTTGTATCTTTGAAAAATTCGTCCTAGTTTAGTCAGGAGAGCTAATCAAAAAGTAGGTCCCATTGTATCCCTATGGGGGCCGAGAGCGAGTCGGCACCACAGTTACCGGGTGGTGCCCCCGCCACAACCGCACGTGCGGATCCCTCGAAAAACAGCGAGTCCGCCGGTCACGTGACCAGGCTCATTTGCCGACACTGTATTTATATACACTGTGGGTTGTACAACACCAATTTCGTTTTAATTATTATTTCAATTGAAATAAAACCACTTAATAATATTCGGTAAAATATTTTAAGGAAAATGAAATATGTTATGCCTAGGCTCTCAGAAGAAAAGGATCAACAAACGTTCTGCTGCAAATTAAACAATGCAGCAAATTAGCTATTAATGTAAACGTAATTAGCGAGACGAAAACGGCGCTTTTGTTTCAGTTATTTTTGTAGGGGTTTCAGATATTTATTCGGCGAGGACGCTGACGCGGTTAGGGTTGTTGATCTTTTTCGCTAATTTTGATAGCGAGTTCAAGGTGGACGAGCTTCACTCTCCTTTTTATTACTTGAAATCTTCTGGCTATTCGTCTCACAAATTTCTTTGGTTTATCAGTGGCATTTCGCGGTTTTCGCCCGGCGCTTGGCCCGGCGGCCGGCGAACTCCTGTCGGCCATCTTGATTTGCATTCCAAAATTGTTTCTTCTTACGGGTAAGCTTTCTCGGTTCTGCGCAGTACATTTCCTTCACTATTTTGATAATTAGACCCTCTTATTCAGCTACGAAATTCCATCTCTCCCCTCTTTCTGAATATTTTCGTGTGTTGGTGTGTTGAGGCCAGTTCACGTATTTCCGGTGACACTTCTGTGTCCCCTCCCACCATCCTGCACTCCTATCGCTGGTTTCTGCTCTCGGTGCTCAACATCTCTCCAATTTGCTGCAATCTCCATCCAAGCTGTGTCGTGTGTTGGTGTTTTGAGGCCAGTTCACGTATTTCCGGTGACACTTCTGTGTCCCCTCCCATCATCCTGCTCTCGGTGCTCAACATCTCTCCAATTTACTGCAATCTCCATCCAAAGCTGTGTATTCTTCCTACTCCATTTTCTCCTCATCACTAGACCTATTGAGCCAATTACATTCAGGTACCTAGGTACTATTCCTATCGCTGCACAGACATTTCTGAGTGTGACTCCTTGTTGAAGCTTTCATATCCATCTACCATTCTGCTTAAATCCATTTGTGGCATCTGTGGCAGAGTAGAAAATGCCACAAAACAGAGAAAGAGCTGAGGCATGCACAGCCTCCTTAGGAAGGAACATAGTACCAGGAGGGCCAGCCTTCCTACTTGCAAGGCTTGAAGGACCCAACTCTGGAACCTTTCGGCATGTGAGTCCCTATAAGACCAGGGATGAACTATACTCACTGCTCGGTCAGGCAGTCACGCAGGTTCAGGTAAAGATCCTCCGCAGTGGGGCTTTGCTTTTCAAAACCAGCAACTTCCACCAAACAGAGGTACTCATGAGCTGGACCCAATTTGGGGACCAACAAATCAGAGTCATCCCAGCTGACAACTTGAACCAGGTGGAGGGGATAGTCTTCGCCCCTGAACTAACACATGAGTCTGTGGAAACCATCCTCAAGGAAAGCGAGAGGCAGTCTGTGACCAGCGTCACTCGACTCCCCTCCAAAACCTCTCGACCAAGTCCTCTCCTGAAACTCAGGTTCAGTCTGACAGAGATGCCCACCCACTTCTATGCAGCATACATGCGGTATGAGATCCGCCCATGCACCCGTCTGCCGCGCCGATGCACACGATGCTTGCGCTATGGTCATGGCCAAAAGACATGCAGGGCTCGTGCACAGAGGTGCAAGAGATGTGCCGGGGAACATGACTCACAGGGATGCAACGCTCCTCCTCACTGCGCTGCCTGCCAAGGTGCCCATCCAGTGACGGACAAAAACTGCCCAGTCTGGATGAGCAAAGTAGAGGAGATGCAGGCGAGGACCCACCAGAGGACCAACCAGAGCAGGTCAAGGGAAGAAGAATGGCCACTACTTCCCGGTCCTCCCCCTCCCACCAACTCTGGATCAGAGGGGCAAGTTGGCAAATGGCCCCGCCCTCCCCCTCCCACCAACCCTGGATCAGAGGGGCAAGTTGGCACGCGGCCCCGCCCCACGTACCCTCCCATAGACAGGGATAGGCAGCTGATGCGGGAAGATGCCACCCCTCAGGAAGGCACCTCTCAACACCACCCACCAACAGTAACATCTCACGCCAAATCAGACTCACGAGGAGACATCTCTGCGCTGAACAATCAGAAGCTGAGTCAGAACAGCGCTGCAGCGCGACCTGTCACCTCCACACCCACTCAACAGAGTCCTTCCCCTCCCACCAGCCCTGGATGTGAATTAGTAATTAATCACACTTTATTAGTATATATGGCCTTGCACTTTATCATCTGGATTAAAAAAAAAAAAATCCTGCTGAGTGCAGAAAGGTAGGTAGGTGCATCGCCAGGTTCTATCACAGGATTGGAGCAGTTATTGCAGTTGAAAGTCAAAGTTGGCTGTTCATGTTTAGGCCCTGTTCTTTACGCCCTAACCCAGAACAACAACAACAGCCCTGTTCTTTATTTGGCCATCTACTCCATATTGCAGTTGTGATGACAAGCAGTTTTCAGTGTAGTTTTGTGATCTTTGATGTCATCAATTGGTGTCATTATATTTCGTCAACTAAAACTTATTTCAACTTTCCATTCAATCGACTCAATCATACGAGTCACTCTAATTTTCGGGAATCAAATCAGTCAACCAGTCGCTAAAGTCAAACGAGTCAGTCAACCAGTCATCTCGAAAAGTCAATCGACTCAATCCAATCAACTCAAAATACGCGCTGAATCAAATCAATCAATTCAATCGACTTGATTGGTATACAACCCTGGAAGGGTATTGATAGTTAGCTGTTGCACGTAATTCCTGGTTGTGACCAATACGATTAAATTTAGATGATTGACTACAGGGCTGTCTCGTTTTATATGCCAAAGGAAGTTCCATTAATTCATCTAGAATGATTGATTTATGTCACAGATCTGAGAGCTTAATGCATTTACCCTGGCACATCGCACATATATTCGACTGAAGCTGCTAGCGAATAAAAGCTCCATCAAACGGGGTCTTTTCAGAAACCCATGCGGCTCCGTTCTCGGTAGTCGAGATGCTGCAATCATTTCGTCCTGTCCTGGAACTGTTTTCATTTCGAGTCGCCAGGCTAGCTCCGCGAACGGCATCCAATGTGACCATTCCGGGCGGGACTCGGACCGGTGGCAGACCATTTCGGGCGGGGCTCGGTCCAGTGGCAGACTATTTCGCCGGAGGCTCGGCTCCATGATGGGCCGATTCGGTGGAAGCTCTGAGCCGTTTTCTTGGCAGCACTGAGGACAGGGTCGGTCGTAAACAGCGTCCATCCGGTCACGGTCGGTTTGTTTGGATCGTGAGTTGCTCTGCTGAGATCCACTCAAAAATGGGCCGCCATATGTCTGAGGCACCATGGTATTTTGCTCCTCGATCCAGCCCATGAAATCTCTTCCACCAGGCTAGGTGATGACTGCCTATAGGTACTGCATTGATTTCGCGAGGTCTCAATGCAATTTTTAGGCTCACTCGCATGACGGATAACATATGGTTACATGCGCACCTTGCATTCTCCAACTCAAGACTTCATCTGAATGAGTTACTACTTACAGGTCAGAGTAGTTGCTGTTTAGTTTTTAATTAGCCCGACAGAGCAACTCGGCGCCGTACTATCAATCTTCCGTGCGGCTAAATTATGCACTCATTACTCTTATCACCAGAAGGATTTGCGATGAACGCAGACATGCGAACCACGGCCCAATAAATCAGGCTGTTGTGCAGCGCCCGGTGAGCGCCGCTGAATGGAAAACGCCGCCCTGAATGGCTCAACGGGGCTAATTTAATCCAGATTTACTACAACGATACCACTAAAAAAGTACATATGACGCTCATTTGTGTAAAAATGGCAATAAAATGCCTTCGTTACGTTTTAAGGCAAATATTTTCATGTCCCTGTGAATCAAAACGCATTTAATCCAATTCATAAAGTTGCGTTTTTATGAAAGGTTTAAACAATGTGCCTTACCAGTGATTACACATCAACGTGTGTTAAACACTCGTCAATTTGCGCTGCGTTTGTTTGATTTATGGCTTAGTTTACCTGCAATGGCTGGTCGTAAATTTCCGCAAGCGTACATGCTTAGTGATTAATTTCGTTTCCTGGCTGTGTACATTTTTTTGCGATTATTGATTGTATTCACCAACTAAACGAAGCCCTCATTGGCAAACATTTACAACTCGTTGATATTCGACTCGAAATGTATATGCATACCAGTATATGTCACAAAATATAATTCACGGCATTTTGAGTAACTATTATTCAGTGGAATTTTGCTATAATTTATTGGTTTAGTGGTTATGATAACTATTATTCAGTGGTTATCTTAGTGGAGGCATTACATTGTCTAACCATCTATCTATAAACAATATCGGCCGTCTACCTCCCGTTTATTTACCATCTTGCCTCCACGGAATCACAGTCTCATACTCTTTTATATCTATCCCATACTTTGCGTGTAACCAACATCTGACCTGACCTGACCTCTCTGTATTCCAGTCTCCGTCTCGGATCATCTCGGGGCGGAGGAAGGAGGTGTCGCACAACGAACGGTTCCACGAGGAGCACGAGTACGAACGGCGGGTAAAGAAGCGCCGCTCGCGGCTGGTTACATCGGCCGAGGAGGCGTTCACCCACATCCGGCGACTCAAGGAGCAGCAGGGTAGGTGATGGGGGCGAGTCAGGGCACCGACTGGTCCTGAGAGATATCGAGGCTAGTGGGGGCGAGAGATTAGTGGCTGTGATGATTTATAGTGTGAGTACTTACATATTGTGCTTTCAGTAAGTACAGTAAAATCGAGTTTCACTGTATTCTCGATAATTAAATCGGCTGATGTGCGAATTTATAACACTGATACTCGGACTCCTATATAAAAGACACCGTGTACAGTGTACGTATACAACTTACACCTGCATTAGTTACGAATGTCGTAACTTATTTCATCTTTTATCTGCGTCTCTCCAACGAGCAACGGTACGAACTTCATTGACCGTAAAAACCAAACAATGCTCACAATAAATGCAACGTCTGTAACATACAAACCGTTCTTCGGAGAAGCGCTGTCATAACGTTTCCGCTCGTAGAAAAAACCTGCCTTTTATGCTGAGTGCGTATCTCTGTTCTGCCTGGCTGGAATAGGTTGTCGATGGCCGGGAGATGTGGCCGATCCATTTCTGATTCTGGCAGAGCTATGATTATCCCATGGCCATCAGTCGGGGAGGGCGGCTCTAGAGACAAATGGCCCCGGACCGCAGACTGGAAGGGTAGTTCATGTCCGACCACTCTCCAATCAGCCGGAGACGCTGAGGTTGTGAATGAGATAAAGGCCCAGCCTGTCATCGTGCCACCAATCCAGCTATGTTGTAAATTTATATCGGAACTACACATTGGGCCCCGCAGACATTAATTAGTGGTAATTGATCCGATAAGTGGCGATCTGGTTTGGAGACTGCCTTCTTCGATTAGGTACAGGGTTGCTTGTCAATGGGTCTCGTCCTCTAAGGGGTAAATGTCCTCTGCAATTGCCAGTAACTGGAACAGAGGAGGTTTGGAATATCTGCTCCGTGAAAACATTATTATGTATGATGTATGCGTGTAGTTCAAGTCGGTTGTTCAGAGCCAAATCGGACTGACAAGAAGACCTGGTTTGGATAATGATGGTCTGTCGTGATCGACTGACGGGTCGGGGCGAATGTTCTGCCCAAAACGGCCGTCTTGTGGGGATGTGGGATTCATTTGCATTGTTGTTCCTGGATACCTCTTTGTATAGGCACGACTGCCACTGTGTCCATGGCCACATATAAGGGGGCCGCTTTTGTTACATATGCCGTTTCCATCTTCCATATCACGCGATGTTTGGTGTAAGTGCGGTCCGCCAGCATAATACTATCATGCCTGTTTTCCTTATTATGAAAAAATCATTGAGGATAATGAGCAATTGCCATGATCGTACCAGTGGCCTGAATTTTGGTCTGAATAGCTTATCGAAACGGCTGATTTTTTTCAATCGGTTTATATGTTGATGCAGACGGTTGAACGTTTATGGTGCCAATTACCATGACGATATGCCATATTTGACTCAATCTTTATGGATGTTTTGATTGCTAACGAGCCCCTTTGTCATTTAAATGGCCCTCGTGACAGATCCGTATGTCGTCTGAATCATTATTGATGCGTCAGCAAAGTGGTACTTTTTATACATTTAGTTGAATATGGTAGAATGTTTGAATTGACGGACAGACAGAGCCAGGACCCATGGGCTAAGCAGAGCTCGTTGGACAGGCGCCGAATCCTTTGCGTCGAATAGTGTAATGTCAATTCAAGTAGCGAGAGAATAAGAATGCCAGAGGTCAAGCGTGCTCATCAAAGCCGGTAAACGTTGATCATATGGATATAACAGGAGCACAGCGGTAAAATTGCTTGCAAAATGACATCAACAGTTTTGCTGGTTAACCCGCGCCCCACTGGGGGGGGCTATTTATAGCCCCCTCCCGTTTTTCTGCAATAACTTCCAAACCGCTTGACGTATCGACGCCAAACTTTCAGTACCTTCGGCTGCATCAATTTGACACCTTGTGTCAAAATTTGAACTTCGTACCTACCATAGGTCGGCCGGAAATGACGTCAGAGTGACGTCATGTTCGGCCGATTTCGACGCAAAACATTGAACCACGGCAATCGCTCCCAAGAGCTCAGTTTTTAAGCTAGATCCAATTTCTTTGCATGAGAGGACTCAGAATAGACTGCGCTATCAAACTGTTATCTCGGATTTTCGAAATTTTGAAAATTTCGAAAATTTTATATAATAAAATTCAAAATTTATATTTTTACATTTTTTTTTTTCAAAAACTTTTTGACTTTTCGAAAAACCGGAATATATGTGATAGAACGCATTATTATGACTAACTCTAGCAAGTTTTAGCTAAATATCTTCAAAAAATGGCCAAGTTATACGCATTATTGCAAAAAATTAACAATTATTAATTTATCAAATCAATTTTTCAGCACGAATTTGACATCGTACGCCAATATAAATAGCACCATCGTGTTCCTGAGCTCAAACTGCATCCAATAGACACCTTTTTGGTCGAAAAATTTTAACTTCAAAATTTGACCTTTTTTGACCTGAAAGTGACCTGACCTGAGCTAAATTTGACTCAAAATGACCTCGAATGACACAGACGACATCAAATTCGAAATGTTTGACCTAAATGGATCATAAAACATGTGTCACGTGACCGACGGATGATATAATATTTTTCCGCTTCCCCTTCGAGCTGCCAGCAAACATAGAGACAATTAGCTATGCTATGCGTAACCAATCTCAGCGCCAACCTCACAACCAAGTCCCTCCAGAAAAACACTGTAGCTGTACAAAAAGGGGCTATTGGTATATTCAGCCCAAATGAACACGACACAAACATACTAGCAAGTATACATGTCTCAACCGAGACTGCCCTGCCAACGGGCCGCCACCCCTCCCCCCGCGCGGCGCAATGGTGTCCCCACCCAAACTAGAAACCCTGTCGTGTGTGTCCTCCCCCGGAAAAAGTCCTAACTAGAAAAAAACCGGGGGACCTAGTTGGGGAAAAAACCACATTTTGTGGAAAAACCCATCTTTATTTAAGAGTGTGGTGCGTGTAAAAAAAAAGCCCCAAAAATGGTGGTGGGTGGGTGGGAAACGCAAAAACATTTCAGAGCGAGAACACTGCTGACTTGCGTCAGACCAGGCGGCTTAGAACAGAGTGACCGCGCAAATGCACTCAAACCCCGCGCCGTCACGGTCACGTGACACGAGTCGCTCCACCAATCAGAGGAGGCCGCCGCCTTAGCGGCCTCGCCGCCCGGGGGCGCAGGCGGCCGCCCGCCTGCCGCCGAACGCTGCTCGCAGAGGCCGGCCCGGCTCCGGGGCCGCCCCAGAGAAGACGCTCGTAGTGTCGCGGAAAAACCGGTTATATCTTGTCATATATAACCGGGCGTATTTTCCGCTTCCCCTTCGAGCTGCCAGCAAACATAGAGACAATTAGCTATGCTATGCGTAACCAATCTCAGCGCCAACCTCACAACCAAGTCCCTCCAGAAAAACACTGTAGCTGTACAAAAAGGGGCTATTGGTATATTCAGCCCAAATGAACACGACACAAACATACTAGCAAGTATACATGTCTCAACCGAGACTGCCCTGCCAACGGGCCGCCACCCCTCCCCCCGCGCGGCGCAATGGTGTCCCCACCCATTCAATACATCCACCCAGACACCAATGCGCCAAAATAAAACACCCCCTTCCCGAGACCAGCAGACCGAATGGGGGATACAAATTAACACAAAAGACCTCTAGTCGCCGCCAGTGTCGAGACCAGTGGCAGAACCCACCCAAATACGTGCTTGGTTGAAGGTAGGTAATTATTTCCTCAACCTGGCCCGAAGCTTACCAGAAACGCCACGATCCCTAAAACCTGCCAACATGAATGTGAGCGATACAGCGGTCACCAATGAAGAACAATATTACGGCATTACAGCAGCCCTTACAGCAGGACTAACAACCAGTAGCATTAGCCACTACTGCGATGATAGCCTCCACCAACTAAATGCCCTCGATATACCCGCCGAAAAAAACAACCATCAATGAGTTCTGAGGCATCTGACAACAGAAGCTGTATATTCCTTTACCTTGAACCTTATGCACATGCCTATCAGCGCGACCATTAATTTTCCCAGAACTTAGGAAGGGGTTAGAACGGCATCAACGAAGGTCGTTGACAGCCGCCCAGCAAAAAAGGGGAGGGCTCTAGCGAGCTCAAAAAAGGGCAGACTAGCGAGCTGCCCCGAGACCGCTGTAGAAGGGGGCACCCCGGGCAGACTAGCCAGCTGCCCCGAGGCCGTTGTAGGAGAGGACACCCCCGGGCAGACTAGCGAGCTGCCTCGGGGTCGTTGTAGAAGGGGATACCCCTGGGAAGACGGGAGCTTCCCCGGGGTCGTTGTAGAAGGGGACACCCCCGGGCAGACTACCGAGCTGCCCCGGGGTCGTTGTAGAAGGGGACACCCCCCCCCCGGGCAGACTAGCGAGCTGCCTCGGGGTCGTTGTAGAAGGGGATACCCCCGGGCAGACTACCGAGCTGCCCCGGGGTCGTTGTAGAAGGGGACACCCCCGGGCAGACTAGCGAACTGCCCCGGGGTCGTTGTAGAAGGGGGGACCCCCCCCCGGGCAGACTAGCGAGCTGCCCCGGGGCGTTGTAGAAGGGGACACCCCCGGGCAGACTAGCGAGCTGCCCCGGGGTCGCTGTAGAAGGGGACACCCCCGAGCAGACTAGTGAGCTGCCCCGGGGTCGTTGTAGAAGGGGACACCCCCCGGGCAGACTAGCGAGCTGCCACGGGGTCGTTGTAGAAGGGGACACGGGACACCCCCGGGCAGACTAGTGAGCTGCCCCGGGGCGTTGTAGAAGGGGACACCCCCGGGCAGACTAGCGAGCTTCACCCGGGACTTGCAGAATCGGGCATCCCAAGATTCTCCGAATGTTCAGGGCAATTACCCGACCCGAATACCAAAAAATACCCGTTTTTGAAATCTGATAGTATCCGCATCACCCGCCACGGGCAACAAGCTTGCCTTTCCGCGAAGCTCCGGATTGATCAGGGACCAAATGACCGGCATACAGACAGCC